CACCCGGGGGGCGCCCGAGTCATCAGCCACTACGCGGGGCAGGACGCCACGGTGAGGGGCCGAGGCTGGGGGAGCCCTTTGTCCCCTCCATGCGGAGCTGAGCCCCGCACTGAGGCGGGGGCAGGGGGCGCTGATCGAGTCCAGCCTCCTGCTCAAAGCAGAGCCAACCCCAACTCAATCATCCCAGCCAGGGCTTTGTCAGCCCCAGTGCACTGTGGCTGCGCCCGCTTTGGGGTGCGGGTGGCTTGGTGTGGCCCCAGAGGCAGGGTGGGAGGGTCGGTGTGCCAGGATGCTGGGAGCTTCGTGTGTGGCAGGAGTTGAAGGGTTGGGGAGATAAGCAGGGCACTGGGGTGGGAAAGGATAGCGCTTGGGGGTGAGTTAAAGTGAGGAGCCTACGTGTTCTGTAAAGGGGAGAGGGCAAGAAGGGATTCAATGGCAGGGATTTTATTCTCTCCAGAGGGGTGCAGAACTGTATGTTGGAGATGGGAAAGGGCTCATCTAGAAGCAAGTGCCAGGAAAGGAGAGGAATGGAGGGAATAAATCAGGGGAGGAAGGAGCAGCATGGAGTGTGCATGAGGGCAGCTAACCTCAAGGCCAGGTCTGTTTGCATGCCCTGGGCATTGCTTTTTAGTCCATTCCAAATATCTTGTGATTCGGCCAGTTCCAAATGGCCACCTGCTCTTCGAAGCATGTGATGATGATGATACCTCCACAGTTCAGTGAGCAGCACTAGTCTCCACACAGAGATGCCAGTAAAGACCAGCAGCATGACTGTATGGCCCAAGTTCTCCCATGTACCTGACAGAGTCTAGGGCAGGAGCTCTCTGGAGCAGCTGTAAGGTGATGGGAACCCTGAAAGCCCATAGTAAGACAGGGAGGGAGAGAAGAAAGGGCAAGGCCAAGTTCTATGGAACATGTGCCCTGCTGTTGGCAAGGGGATGCACTAATGAGGAAAGGGAGATGAGTATTTTTGCTGAAGTGGTGGCTTGGCTTGTTTGTTTAATTCTGATTGTGTATCAGAGATTTTGAAGCAAAGGTAAAAAGCAGATCACGTTATGTTTACAACTGGACTTGTAAATTTACCACATATCTACTAACTGGAGGGTAGTATGCAAGAATGGAAGGCCCCACCTGTGTGGTCCTGGTAAAGAGCTCTGGTAGCATGTTGCTGAACATCTAGATTCAACAGGGAAAGGCAATTTGTAGAGATGGGGTTTTCTGGTTTACCCCTTACAAGAATGTTGTCAACAGTGTTAACCTAAGCTCCCTCACTTAAGCCCAAGTCTAGCAAAGCATCTGAGCATATGCCTAACTTGAAGCAAGAAATGAACAGGATTACTCACACACTTCAAAGTAAGCACATGCAAATGCATCTGCTTTCCAGAATATTAGTTTTGATTTGTTTTATATTTATAGGGCCCTACTAAATTCATGGCCATGAAAAATGACCATGAAATCTGGTCCCTCCCCTTCATTCACTGAGATCTCATCTTTTTGTACTTTCCCCCTATATTATACATATTTCATGGGAAGAGACCACTGTTTCCCATACGGTGGGTCCTGATCCAAAAAGGCAGGGGAGTCACAAGGTTATTGTAGGGGGTCACAATATTGCCACACTTATGTCTGGGTTGATGCCTTCAGAGCTGGGTGGCTGAGGGCCGAGCTCTAAAGGCAGAGCAGAAGTAAGGGTCACTTTACTGTCACCCCTCCCCCCCACAGTAACCTTGCATCTCTCCCACCTCCCCTTTGTAGGTCAGGACCCCCAGTTTGGGAAATGCTGGTCTCCTCAGTGAAATAGTATATGATTGAATGTATGTGATTTTTGCAGATCCACACCCTACAAGGTTTATAAAGATTTTAGAAGACTTTTTTTTTGCAGTGAGATATAGGGATGTGAAGGTTTAACTGGTTAACCAATAGGGCTGAAGCAGCTCCCCACCTGCTGCGAGCAGGAGGCTGCTCCATCTCCATGGCGGCACCTGTTGCAGACAGGGGCTTCTCCAGCACAGCTTTTACCTGTATTGGGTTCCAGGTGCCCTGCAGGCAGGGGCTAGTCTGACCGGGACGCTGCAGCAGCCCCTGCTTGAGGGCTGTCCTGGCCCGCTGCAGGCGGGGTCTGCTCTGGTGTCCCACTCTGCTCCCCTGCTTATCCCCCTTTAATCAATTAACTGGTTAAAAAAAAGTTTAATGAGAGAGCCAATTAAACTGGATTTTACGTCCCTAGTGAGATGTGAGAAAACTCAAAAAGCAATTTTAATTACCCGCTCCATTCCTGATCCTGTAGTCTATCACATGCCCAGCCCAAATAATGCAATTTATCTCTCTGGGTCTGAGCTTCCTCATTTGTCAATTGGGAAGGTGGCAATGAAATGTCTACCAGAGAGAACCCTCCAAAAATACTGAATTTAAAATCTGCATGGTCGCATGTGGATATTACATTTTACATGTTTGGAAACTGAGCCTTAGAAAAAGTGAAGGCCAACATTTTTGACTGTGGATGCCTAATGGTATCCTTCTGTTTAAATTGTCTACAAATGAGGCATACAAAATGAGTGATCAGTTGAAAATGATGACCCTGAACCTGTAAACATATCTGCACATTTCATTGTATTTACCTGAGTAGAGTATTCCTTTGAGGTAAATGTTTTCAGTCAGGACCATGGCTCTTAACATCTCTTAGCTGCAATTTCCTCATCTATAACAAGAAGATTATGAAAAAAACCTACATTTTTAGTTACTTCATAACTGTCAGAGCACTTCCTTTGCTGATTGTTTTAAATAAGATAAATATTTGCAATGTTGCTAGGTACAGTAGAACCTCAGATTTACAAACTGACTAGTCATCCACACACCTTATTTGGAATCAGAAATACTCAAGAAGGCAGAAGCAGAGACAAAAGCCAAGCAAACAGCAAATACAGTACACTACTGTATTAAATGTAAATAACTAAAAAAAAAGGAGGTGGGAGTGGCATTTTTCTTTTACATAGTAAAGTTTCAAAGGTGTATTAAGTTCAGTTGTAAACTTTTTGGAAGAATGACCATAACATTTTGTTCAGAATTACAGACATTTCCGTTACAAACAACCTGTATTCTCAAGGTGCTCATAACTCTGAGATTCTACTATATTTTCTGTACTAAGCATAAGATACTGTAGTGGGCATAAACAACTGTTCACAGGTGGTAAAACTGTCTAAGGCAACAGTGGAAGATTTTTGAAATGCAGTCTTCATTATGGGCCAGATTTTCAAGGTTAGGTGTCCACTCTTGCGCAGATAGATTGAGAGACAGACAGCCAGATCACATCTGCATACAAATACTGGACTTGTGTATGCAAGGCACTATAAGTTTAACCAGTTAACTGGCCTGCCATGGTGCACCGCAGTTCGGGGCCACTGAGCCAGCCTCCGCCTGCAATGTAGTAAGCCCAGCTGGATTGCTCCTGCCGGGCTGGGTGCTGGTTAACTGGTTACTCCAGTAAGCGTGCCAGTAAGGCAGTGCTTATTGCATAACCAGTTACCCCTTTACATACCTGATAGCCAGTGGCCCAAGACAATGTGCTGACCTTTGCAACTTCCACAAGATCATGTCAGTTCCATCCATTTTAAGCAATGGTTCCAGTGAGGGGGGCCTCTGAGAACTGGGTGAGTCCTAAGGTTCACTGGTACCTAGTATTGGGTGTATGTGATATCAGGTATTAACAGAGCCAGGGAGCAAACTGCGACAGGTATGGTTCCCAAGAAACCTTACTGAACAGAGTTTAATATCTTTGGTGTCCATTGTATTAAATGAGTGGTTTATGTATTCTTGTGGGCCAGGTATTGTATGTATTTCCAGGGGAAGTGTAATTAGAGCTCCTCCAGGAACTGAGAAAAGAGGCAAGGGGTGATTAGTGAAAGCTCTTCTGGTTGTAACCGCTGCAGAAAAGCACCTCTCCCTGGTGAGTTTTGCATTAACTGAATTCTCTGGAGACCAATAGATAAAGAAAGGATTTTTGGTTAAATGGCCTGAGTTAAAATTGACTTCTTTCTGATCCAGCAAATAGAGCAGACCCGTTATCCAAGGGGGGCCTGATCCTTAAAAGAGGGTTGAGATGTCTTTGGCCCATTGACCCCATAAAACTTGGGTTCTTGTTCTGAGCTAAGGCCATGTCTACACTAGGAGATTATTTCGAATTTACTAAATTCGACTTCTGGACGCCCGATTTTACAAATTCTAATTTCTGTGTCCTCACTATGAGGAAGAATTGAATGTAGCCCGAGGCCTGCTCCGTTAATGTGGATGCGCTGCCTTGGATTCAGAGCCCCCGGATGCACTCTGGGGAGCTGCGGGAGGCCGCCAATTAGTTTGAATTAGCAGCACCAGAGGATCCACACTAATGTTATTTTGGACTTACAAGTTAGGGAATAGCTTTATTCCTCATGAAAAGTGGGAGTACAGGCAGTCCCCGGGTTACGTACAAGATAGGGACTGTAGGTTTGTTCTTAAGTTGAATTTGTATGTAAGTCGGAACTGGTACATATTGTAGGGGAAACTCTAGCCAAACATTTCTCCAGAGCTCAGTTTTATTCTCCCACACCTCACTTCCCTCAGTCCTTTATTCTCAAGCTGAGGTGTCTGCTGAGAAAAGCCGCTCCGCGTCTCCCTGGTCTGCTGGGGAGGGGCGCTAGCTTCGCGTCTCCCTGGTCTGCTGGGGGGAAGCAGCTAGTACGGGGTTGCCTCACCCCGTTTGTAAGTAGGGATCCGATGTAAGTCGGATCCATGTAACCCGGGGACTGCCTGTACAGAGTTCAAATTCTGCTGCCCCTTATTCTGGAATAATGGGCTTGGTAGTGTGGACGCATCACTTATATATTCGACCGTGGGGGTGTTATTTCAGACTAACGTCCTAGTGTAGACCAGGCCAAAGAGTGTTATGAATCAGAAATAACTGAACAGTCCCTGGGTGGTGCCTTTCAGAGCTCATGTTGGAGTCGGGGTGATCTCTGGTAAGCATATTACCATGCCTGTAGGTTCTTTTCTTGTTTTAAAATACGTTCTCTTGTAATGCTTTACCCATAAGAATTAAAGTGCCTGTTTAAGACAGAGCTGTTTGGTAATCCATAACTATTGGCATTTACCCTATTATTAGTCTTTGAAGAGAAAGCAAAGCACAGCTACTGGCCCGTTGAGGCAGTCCAGCTCTCTGGGGAATAACAGAGAGCAGGCAGGGAAATGTTCAGCCTGGAAATACCTCATTCAGAAGGGAGAGAAATGCAAATCTCCACTCTACAGAGGCAATGGCTGGGAAGCCAAACACTTAAGAGTGGGATGCCCTTGCTGGACCATAAAGGTGGGAATATGGGAGGAGTTGCCCTGAACTGTGACATACGCTACAAACATTATGCTCTCTCAGTTACTCTCTGGGGCAGGGGGAGAAGGGAAGGGGGGAGGGGGAATACAAAAGGCTCCTGGCCCCTGCTACTATGGCAGGGGCTGGAGTGCCATCCCCCAGACCCTCCCCTTCTGCCTGAGACCCCACCCCTTCCAGGAGCATGGAGCTGCCCCCTCACTCCTGCATCTTGCCCAAGGGCCCGGCATGTCTGTTGTCTCCACTACTCTGAAACCAAACTGCTGACCACTGAAGTGGCTGGAGATGGAGCAGTCCCAGCTTTTTGGATATTTTTCTAGTCTGGAGAGCAAAAATCAAGACTCTCAGAAGAAACAAAAGGAAAGGAAAAGCACTTCCCCTTTAACCGTGCGGCTTGCTGCCTCAGTATCATGATTTCCAGAAAGCTCATTAATGCCCCATCAGTCCCCTAAGTTCCCCCACCCCCACCTCCCTTGAGGTTTTACTGCCAGGTTGTACAACCACCGTTGTAATGATTGGTCTAAACTCATGGTACCACCGTCTCCTGGTCTGCCCATGTACCACCCCCTAATTCTCCCTCTTCCAATAGGAGAACAGAGATGAAAATGCCCCTCTCCCTCTCCCTGTTTAGATAAGCTAGAGCAGAAAGGATGCCCTCTCTCCTTCCTGATTAAATACAACAAGGCTGAGCTAGAATTGGCTGCATCAGCCACATTTGAAAGCTGTTTGTTTCCTGGCTAGGGACCAGTTAAAAGGACCAGAACTTTGCAAAAGAACACAAAGCCATGTGGGCACAAGGCAGTGCTGAGCAGTGTGCTGGAAACAAAGAAACCCAGGAATGGGGGCAGGCATTCCCTTGAAAAGAGAAAACAAAGTCCTGGAAGACTGTGACTGCTGTGCTAAGACACATGCAGGGAGAGGAAATGTAACATGAGACTGAGAGACTTTCAACCAGAGCGAGGCACCAAAGTAACACGTGCGCCCCCTCCAGTGGGTTTGGAATCTAAAGCAAGGAGGATTATGAATATAGTGATACAGGTTTATAAACCCTGACGTGCTTGGTTGGGGTCTCGTTTTTCCAGAGAGTGCACAGGCAACATGTTGCTGCTAAGTGCCTGACAATTTCCCAAGTGACAAGAAGTGACTGATTCCCTTGCAGGGTTCTCCCAAGCATCAGCATGCAGGTGGTGGGGAGTCAGGAGCTCTTTGCAGTGGAGGCAGTGGCAGATGGACCAATGGGACATGTGCCCAGGACCTGCGGTCAACTGGGGGGCTCCGGAAAAATGGGTGTCCTGTCCTCTGACTTGCTCCTACTCCCTGGCAGGAGCACCAGGCCGATGAAGGAAACTCCCATTTCACAACCCTAGTAACTGGCAGGAGAACCAGCCGGATGGCAGAAGCCCCAGATCCCAGTCCCACTCACTGGCAGGTGCGCTGGGTGAATGCGGGAAGCTCCCATGCCCCAACCTCGCTCACTGGCAGGAGTGGTGGGTGGATGAGGAAACCCCTGGCATTCTAACTCAGCTTCCCAGCCTGCTGCCAGGGCTGCAGAGGAAGAGGTCAGGAGGGACCCCTGTTGCTCTGACCAAGGACTCCAGAAACTCCTTAGCCGCCTTTGCGTGGAAGAACCATGCTGGCTAGTCCAGTAGGGAGAGTACAGAGCACCCAAAATAGTCATGCCTGTTGGAGGTGCCATAGCAGTTCCTGTGGTCTGGTGGAGCAACTGCAGGGTGAGCTTTGCTGCCTGCCCTTAGCCTAGCTGGAAGTGTGGGAATTGGAGGGAATGGGAGTAAACCATTCCTTGAAATGTTTAGAGGTAAAGGAGAGTGGGAAATGAGGTGTTAGAGAATCAGGTGAAGTACAGAAGATGGTACATTTGCATATCTGAAAGAGTTTGTCTGTGTGTCTGTCTGTTCAAGAACTCTTACACAGAAAGAGCTAGGACCACCAAATTCCGTATACAGCTTCCTCTTATCACTTAGCGCAGTGTTTCCCAATTTTATTTGGCCACGGAACCCTTTTAAATTCAAAAGAATTTCCCAGAACCCCTAATAACTGTCTTATATATGGAGCAGGATGTCAGAGCAAGCTGGGAAAGTGGGGTCTCGGCAGGGGGAGGGAAGGGGGGTTGGGTGCGGGGTCTAGGCATGAGAGGGGACATTTACCTGGCTTGGCTCCCTGCTGCAGCAGGGAAGGCCTCCAAGCAGCATGCTCTTGTTCCTCCGGGGGGGCGGGAGATGGAGTTCAGTCCCCCACCCCCCATGCAGTGGGGATCTCAGCGCAGCTGCAGCACCAGGTCAGGCTTCCCGCTGGGGGCGGGGAGGTAGAAACCCCGACCTTCCCCACCAGACCAGACTCTGCCACTTCCCCAGCAGTGTGGGATGGGATGTGGGGGAGAGAGAGCGGCAGTGCACGGGGGGTAGTGGGCCCTAGCGTGCCCCGGGGGGGGGGGATGGCAGAGCCCCAGCCGAGTTCCGTGTGTCCTCTGCTGGGGCGCAAGCAGCAGTTTAAAAAAGCTGAGGTCCAGGAGTCGCTACTTGGCACCTCGGACCCAGCCACCTCTCCCCTCCCGGCTGTAAGAAGCCACCGCCTGCACACGAGGAGGAGGAAGCTGTGTGGCACCGGAGGCCCCGTGGGACAGGGGCAGTTCTGCGGGGTGAGGAGGGGACTGCGCAGTGCATGGTGGTGGGGCAGCCACAGTGTGTGGTGGAGCAGCCAGAGCCACGTGCCCCCAGAAGCCTGCCCCCGCTGGCAAAGCTCCAATGGGAGCTGCCTACAGGCTCTGCAGGGGGTGAGGGAGTAGAATTTTTTTGTGGAACCCCATTTGGGAAACACTGACAGAGCAAGGTCAGGGTTTGGTTGTGCCTGGAATGGAATTGCTTCTCATTAAACTATACAGAAAAGAAACAGGCAGGTGAAAGGGGCTGGCTGGGGGCACCTCCCCCACTGGGACTGACCCAGGCCCAAGTCTCCTACCCCCAGGTGCTCTTAAGGGAGGATGGCAGGGGGACGGGGGCTAGATCTACTCCCTAGATTCCTACAGGAACATTGCTGGCTGTTCCCCTTTTGGTCAGGGAGTAAGGGGAAAGTGTACAGTTTGCTGCATTCCTCACTCTGGCTGGGGAATGCAGGGAGCAGACAATCCAGGACCTGCCCCAGCTGGGGGACATGCACCTCCCCTTTGGCTATGCCCGCTGTAGTTGCAGTGGCCATGGAGAGGTGTTCTCAGCTGGCTCCAAGCTGCTGCAGTAAGATTGGGCTGAAATGGTCTTCTCTCCCTGGGGCAGCCTGCCTACTGACCCCCTCATCCACAGCCCACACAGAGCAATGATTTAAATGAAGAAAAACAAAAAGATTTGAGAAAGGCTGGGTACATCTTTGAGAAAGTGGAGGGACTGGAGCCAGAAGAGGGAATGGCTGGCATCAAAAGAAAGGAGAGAAATGAGAGGAAACAGGAGGCAAAAGAGAATAGGGTCAAGGAGACTTGTTGGGTTGGCCAGGAAAAGAAAGGCTTCTGGTTTAGAGATAAAGAGGAAGAGAGCCCAGATACCATGTTGATGTGCATCAGAAATGTCTACCTAGATAGTGTCAGAGAGCTCCTACTGCAAGGTAATTGTTTTGGCTTTGGAGAGATCACCAAGGTGTTGGGCAGGGGAAGAAGAATGGCCCAGCGGCTCCGGCACTGGATTATTTTCATCTAGGCTGGGGATGTTCACATGGCATCTTGTCTGCTGTCCTGTCCAAGGTGTGTTTTATCTCACCCCGTTCTCTTGTCTGTATTTCAGGATGCCTTCATGGCGTTCCACCTTGACAAGGCTCTGGTGAGAAAGTACATGAGCTCACTGCTGATTGGGGAACTGGCACCGGATCAACCCAGCTCTGAGCCCAGCAAAAATGTGAGTGTCGTAAAAGCTGGACATTGGGATGGGATTGTGGCAGCAAGGGGGATGTGTTGATATCTCTCCTTGGTGACCAGAACTCCCAGTAAATGGTAAAGCACATTGCATCTTGGACACATGCCTCTTTGAAACTTCCTGTTGGTGTCATGGCAGTACCAGCCTGGGAAAACAGGGCCTATTGGTCACAGGTTCCCTCACATGTTACTACAAAACTTGTGGGTTGGGGAGCTGAATGCGTTAGCTGCAGGCTCTCCTCAGTCATAGACTCAGACCTCAAAGTGTCAGGGGTCAGATCCCGTCAGCCATAGGCTCTCCCTGTGTCACAGAGACCCTTCACCCACCCAAGAATCACAGCAAGTCAGCTATACACTTCCCCGATGTCATAATTGCTTCCTCTGAGAGGACTCCAGCTTTCCACCACTGCAGCATTGACGCCCCTGGAGCTCCCAGGGCTCCTAAAGCTGCTGGCTGCTGTCCTGCACACCCAGGGCAGAGTGCTGGAGGTGCGTCTCTCTGCAGGAGTTGCTGGTTGAAGACTTCCGGGAGCTGCGCACCACTGTCGAGCGGATGGGACTTCTCCAGCCCAACCACCTCTTCTTCTTCCTGCTTCTCTTGCACATCCTGCTGCTGGATGCTGCCGCCTGGCTCACCATCTGGTACTTTGGGTCATCCTTGCTGCCTTTCCTCTTCTCTGCATTGCTGCTGGGCACCGTCCAGGTAAACTGCGCGGGGGCCATCTTATTCTACCACAAACTCAGGGCCAGTGTTGTATCCCCAGGTGCTTCTGTCAGTACCTGCGAGACTCTTTTACTCGATGATCCAAGATCATTTTGAAAATGATTCTGCAAGGCAGAGCGAGGGGAGCTGAAAACATTTGTAATCTCTCCCAGCAAGACGCACTGTGATGAACAGTGTCAGGTTCTTCATTCCTTGCCTCTCTTAACTGGAGGGTCTATAGAGGAGGAGCAGTGGTTGTGGGAGGCTCCCAGCTAGTTTAGACCCAGCCTCTCTTAGGAGGAGGTGCTTTTGGGAGTAAACCAGAAGCTCTGAATGTGGAAGGATCACAAGAATTCCTGTCCCCTCCCTTCCATTCAAAGGTGAGGTTGAAGTGTGTGTGTGTGGGGGGGGGGGAGCAATGCAGTCCCTTGACACAGGCTTTTTGAGTGAGTAGTTAGAAGGGGTATCCCATGTATCTCGTCCCCATAGTCTGCTCGAGCACTTCCTTCGTCCTGGTCTTGCTGTAGGAACAACAAGGCTGTACTTCTCTGCTCTGGTTTGGATGAACTTTGAGAGACACTAACAGTGGCTACGCATTCCTGGTGTTCCCATGGGAACGCGGCCTACAGGACATAGCAGCTCTGAAAGCCCCAGCTGTTTCTCCTTTGCCCAGGTGGTCCCTCTGGAATTACAAAGGCTACTTTGTTACAGTGCTCTGACCAGCCTGTAGAGAATAAATGTCCCGATTCTTAGATCCATAGCCTTTTCTTCGTGGGCCCCCTTCCCCACGAAAACAACTCCCCAGTGCTCTGTAACTTCCCGCAGTCGAGAGGAGGGTCTGGAGTTTTGTGGCTGGGGGGGGGGGGGGGGTGGGTTGGGGGTGTGTGGGCAGTACAGGGTGCTCTCACCTGCTTGAGGTGAACCGTCAGGAGAGCAGGAAT